GTTATAAAGTCTGTCCGCTCACTTCCTGCTCGGGTGTGAAAGTCTGCTTTCTGCATGTGGAGATGCGGTCGTGTCTTAAATAGCACTGGGCTCTATATCGCGCTGCTGTAACCAGGCGGTTTTGTTGGTTAAAAATAGTTTAGTAATTATAGGAAATGATTTTTGCTCTGCATGTTTATCCTTGAACGCTGTGCTAATTTGTGGTCAGGCGTTTTGCCATCAAACCACTTCTCTGTGCTGACAGACAGAAACACACACACACACACACACACACACACACACACACATGCCACTGAATGCATGCATTATCACACTAGTGAGTGCACTACATAAAGAGCATCATGGCTGACACAAGATGGGCATCGTTAATACAGTTGCACCCAGCATCTTACCAATTCGGCTCTTTATTTTTTATTATTTATTTATTTATTTTAGAATCAGGTCATCAATACTCATCAATACTAGTGTAGAAATAAAAGCAGAATCATCAAATCGTGCTTGGGACAATTCTATATATGCATATATGTGTCTTTGTGTCTCTCTGTGTGTGTGTGTGTGTAGGTGACAGCAGTGTGCAGAGAAGCGGCTCTACAGGCGCTGCAGGAGAGCATCTCAGCTGAACAGGTGAAGGACACACACTTCCAGAGCGCGCTGAACATCATCACACCCCGAATCCCAGAGTCCCTCCTGCAGACCTACAGCAGATACCAGCAGCAGCAGCGCACACACACATACACACAACCATAAACACACACACACACACACAACCATCACACCCAGAATCCCAGAGTCCCTTCTGCAGACCTATAAACACACCACACACACACAACTACACACACAAAACACACACAACCATCACACCCTGAATCCCAGAGTCCCTCCTGCAGACCTACAGCAGATACCAGCAGCAGCAGCGCACACACACATACACACAACCATAAACACACACACACACACAACCATCACACACTGAATCCCAGAGTCCCTTCTGCAGACCTATAAACACACCACACACACACAACTACACACACAAAACACACACAACCATCACACCCTGAATCCCAGAGTTCCTCCTGCAGACCTATAAACACACCACACACACAACCATAAACATACAACAAAAATACACAACACACACACACAACCATCACACCCTGAATCCCAGAGTCCCTCCTGCAGACCTACAGCAGATAACATCAACAGCAGCGCACACACACACACACACACACACAACCATCACACCCCGAATCAGAGTCTCTACTGTAGCCCTACAGCAGCACACACACAAATCATGAATGCACAATTACACACACGCACAACGAACACACAACCATAAAAACACAACTACACACTGAGATCCATAAACACAACTACAATAGACACAACAGACTGCAGATGTCTGACTGATGTGTGTGTGACAGAGAGTGTGTGAGTGAATGAGTGAGTGAATGAGTGTGTAAATGTGTGTTTGTGTGTGTGTGTGTGTGTGTGCGCGTGCGTGCATGCGTGCGTGCATGCGTGTGTGTCTTTGTGTGTGCGTGTGTGTGCGTCTGCGTGTGCACGTATGTGTGTGTGTGTGTGTGAGATGCTCAGAGACGCTCCTGCCGAGCAGCTCACAGGCCAACACACTGCGCCTGCTCTATAAACAGCAGCTTCGTTCTCCCGTTTACACTCTTCTTCCATATCAATATTTCAGACATTGTGAGATTTTGGGTCTGAATTCTGCTGATGTATAATAATGTTAGATAATGTTCAACACTTGACACCATTGCTGCATCAAACAATGGATATTTGTTCATCTGAATGTGGATTTTTCTGAAAGTCAGATGATTTTATTACATGAGTAGTGTGTATGTTTTGTAAAGGTTTGGAGTGTTTTCATGCGTCATGAGTAATAAAACATGCAAGTTTAATACAATTCATTCCAGAGTTGATTATGGTCAGATTATCTGTCATATGGTGGTATTTCCCATCAGAATATATATGTATGTGAGCATCAGAATGGAGAAGAAAGGGGATTTAAGAGACTCTGAGCGTGGCATGGTTGTTGCTGCCAGACTGGCTGCTCTGAGTATTTCAGAAACTGCTGATCTACTGGGATTTTCACGCACAACCATCTCTAGGCTTTACAGAGAATGCTCCGACTAAAAGGAAATCTCCAGTGAGCGGCAGTTCTGTGGGCGCAAATGCCTTGTTGATGAGGCCAGAGGTCAGAGGAGAATGGCCAGACTGGTTCCAGCTGATAGAAAGGCAACAGTAAGTCAAATAAGCACTCGCTACAACCGAGCTCTGCAGAAGAGCATCTCTGAACACACGACACGTCCAACCTTGAGGCGGATGGGCTACAGCAGCAGAAGAGCACACCGGGTGCCGCTCCTGTCAGCTAAGAACAGGAAACTGAGGCTACAATTCACACAGACTCACCAAAACTGGACAATAGAAGATTGGAGAAACGTTGCTGCTCTGATGAGTCTCCATTTCTGCTGACACATTCGGATGCTCGGCTCAGACAACATGAAAGCATGGATCATCCTGCCTTGTATCAGTGGTTCAGGCTGGTGGTGGTGGTGTAATGGTGTGGGGGAGATTTTCTTTGGGTCCATTAGTACCAATTGAGCATCAACGCCACAGCCTACCTGAGTATTGCTGCTGACCATGTCCATCCCTTTATGAGCACAGTGTCTCCATCTTCTGATGGCTACTTCCAGCAGGATAACGCAGCATGTCATAAAGCTCAATCATCTCAGACTGATGAACATGACGATGAGTTCACTGTACTCAAATGGCCTCCACAGTCACCAGAGCTCAATCCAATAGAGCAGCTTTGGGATGTGGTGGAACGGGAGATTGGCATCATGGATGTGCAGACGACAAATCTGCAGCAACTGTGTGATGCTATCATGTCAACATGGAGCAAAATCTCTGAGGAATATTTCCAGTAGCTTGCTGAATCTACAACACCAAGGATTATCTGAAGGTGAAAGGGGTCCACCTAGGATTGATAAGGTGTACCTAATAAAGTGACCGGTAAGTGTATATTAGTATAATGTATATTTATATAGTTTTTTTTAATAATTAGTAGATTGTATATTTATATAGTATGTTGCTATTAATTTATCAAAAGCATATGTGTGTGTGCGGGTGTGTGTGTATTTATATATATGTACTTTTAGCTAAAAAAAATATAAAGTTATGGCTGTTATAAAATAGCAATCCTTCGTGAAGCAACGGCATTATACATGTTATTTCACTATAATTAACAGAAATGTTACCTTCAAATACAATAAGGTGAAGTATACTAAAACTACTAATATAAACTAAACATTTCATAATAAAATTGACAAGCACAAAATCGCTTAACTAAACAAATTAATGTCAGATTATATATAAAATACATGTATACATACTATAATAGCATATATATCATACTAAAACAACAATTGCTTACACATCTAAATTCATTCATTTATTTTCTTTTCGGTCGCCACAGCGGAATGAACCGCCCATATATCTAAGTATATATTTTAAATATTTTTCTTTTTAAAAATCGTCTATATACTTATACTAAATGTCAAA